TCAGATCAGCACAGTTATGCTTCCTATCGCACCTTTTCGCGAGACTAATCCTAAGTCTTGGTTTGGTCAGCTAGAGTCGCAATTTTCTTTGCGTGGAATTAGGTCCGAAAAGACCAAGTTCCACCTTGTCGTTTCCGCGCTTCTGCTAAATGTCCTCGATGACATTGATGACATTCTAGATCTTCCTGACGACCAAAAGACTTACGATGCAGTCAAGACAGCTGTTCTGAGAAGAACAGGCTTATCCGATCGACAACGAGTTACGAAACTCCTCAACGAAACCGATCTTGGCGATCTTAAGCCTTCTCAGCTGCTTCGAAAAATGCAGAGCCTAGCTAAACCCACTTCGATAGATGATTCTTTTCTTCGGGAAATGTGGTTGCAACGACTTCCGCGCGAGATGCTACACATCCTCTGCGCTAGTGAGGATGCACCTTTATCCAAACTGGCTGATACAGCCGACCGAATTTGGGAGTCGTACGGCCAGGTTTCGCAAGTCCACAAGAAAACGGACAACGATATCGCTACCCTTAAATCCCAGATGGCAACCTTGACTCGACAATTCGCAGACTTTTCGGCCTCCGGACATAACCGCTGTAAATGCTCTAGGAGCCGTTCGCGTTCACGTTCGAAGTCTCCTTCGCGATCACCGAATAGAAACGGTTACTGCTGGTACCACGAACGCTTCGTCTAGCAAGCTAAATCATGTCGCCCGCCCTGTTCCTTCAAACGACAGCAGCAGGGAAACGGGCGGACCAGCACGTAGGGGCGACGGACGTAGCTGGTCAACGCAGTCGCCTTTTCTTCGTCACCGATCGTAGAACCGGAGTTCGCTATCTCGTCGATACTGGCGCAGAAGTCAGCGTTCTCCCGCGTGATCCAAATGACCCGACCGAAAAGGTGACTAGCTCATTGCGCGCAGCTAACGGAACCATTATCCGCGTATATGGTCAACGCTCGCGCACGCTAAATCTCAGCCTCCGACGCGCTTTTAAATGGACATTCCTCGCTGCGGATGTTCAAACGCCTATCCTTGGTCTCGACTTCTTACGTCATTACGACCTACTCGTCGACGTTAAGCGACACCGTCTAGTCGACCGCCTTACGAACCTCGCAGTCATTGGGACTTTGACCGACACCGCGTCAATCAGTCCCGTGTACGCGACTCAATTTACTTCACCCGTCGGGCAAACGCTGCTCGATAGTTTTCCGCAGGCCTTCCGTCCTGCCGTCCCGTTGCCTTCCGTAAGCGACGCCGCGACACATCACATCGTTACGACAGGTCCGCCTGTGTTCGCAAAAGCCAGGCGCATGACCCCCGACAAGCTCAAAATTGCACGCTCCGAATTCGAGCACATGCTAGACCTAGGCATTATTCGCCCGTCTAAGAGCCCGTGGGCATCGCCTCTACACATGGTGCCTAAAAGTCAGGAGACTGGCGTCCATGTGGCGACTATCGCGCTCTCAATAACGCTACCGTCCCCGACCGCTATCCCATTCTGCACATTCAGGACATCACGGCTAGCCTACGTGGCGCCCGTGTGTTCTCGAAGATCGATCTGGTTCGCGCTTACCACCAGATCCCTGTAGCCGAGGATGACATTCCGAAAACCGCAGTCATCACGCCTTTCGGACTTTTTGAATTCTTGCGAATGCCCTTCGGTCTTCGTAACGCAGCTCAAACTTTTCGACGCTTCATAGACTCTGTCACCAGAGGTCTCGACTTTGTTTATCCTTAGATAGACGACATCTTGGTAGCTAGTTCTTCCGAAGAACAGCACGCGGAGCACCCCAAGGTGCTTTTCGAGAGGTTAGCTTCTAATAGCATTACTGTCAATGCTGACAAATGCATCTTTCAGCAACCATCTATCGAATTTCTTGGTCATCGAGTTGACCAGCATGGCATACGGCCGCTCGAAGACCGAGTCAGCGCTATTAAGGACTTTCCCGTTCCGACTACTTTGGCCGCCATCCGCCGTTTTAGTGGGATGATTAACTACTACCGTCGATTTCTGCCACGTTGTGCCGACTTGCTCAGTCCATTGACCGACTTACTTCGTGGACGCAAGAACGGCAATGTCGAATTGACGCCCGCTGCAACCGAAGCCTTCAAAGCCTGCAAAGAGGCCTTGGCCGAAGCCGTTATGCTTCACCATTTCGACCCGAAGGCTCCACTCAGCGTTGCAGTCGATGCATCGGACACCGCCATTGGCGCCGTCCTGCAGCATTTTACTGAGAGATGCTGGAAACCATTCGCTTTCTACTCCCGACGCTTACAACCGGCAGCAATCAAGTACAGCACGTTTATCCGCGAACTGCTGGCAGTTTATTCTACCGTTCGACATTTCAGGCACGTCTTAGAAGGTAATTCGTTCGTTATCTTCACTGACCATAAGCCGCTTATTTACGCCTTTCGAAATCAATCAGCTCGACACTCACCACGTGAGGTTCGTCAGCTGGATTTCGTGGCTCAATTTTCTACTGACCTCCGACATATTTCAGGTCAGAATAACGTCGTTGCTGACGTCCTTTCGCGCGTCTCCGCAATCCACACCGCTGGCCAGGCAATTGACTTACCTGCCATGGCTACCGCGCAACTAAACGACACTGACTGTCAGAACGTCAAACAAGATTCTTCGCTACGAATCACACCGCATCCACTGCCGTCATCTGATGGCACAATCTTGTGCGATTCTTCTACTGGACGACCTCGACCCGTCGTTCCAGAAACCTTTCGACGTCTAGTTTTCGATACACTTCACAACATCGCTCATCCAGGCATCCGAGCCACGATCAAGCTCATATCGGAGAGATACGTTTGGCCCGGAATGCAACGCGATCTTAAGCGCTGGGCACGCGGTTGTCTAACGTGTCAGCAGGCCAAGATACAGCGGCACGTGTCCGCTCCGCTTGGTCGTTTTCCGCAAGTCTCAGCTCGCTTCGCCCATGTCCATCTCGACATAGTTGTACCCTTGGCACCATCCAGAGGAATGGTCTACATTCTGACCATGATCGACCGATACACCCGTTGGCCCGAGGCCGTACCTATACCCGACATATCCGCGGACACCGTAACGCGCGCTTTCGTTGAGCGCTAGGTCGCTTCACATGGCTGTCCAGCCACCGTGACTACCGACCGCGGTCCGCAGTTCGAGTCCTCGACCTTCAACGATCTTCTCAAATTCCTCGGATGTCAACGCATCCGGACTACCGCCTATCACCCGCAATCCAACGGCATGGTGGAACGTTTCCACCGACAGCTGAATGCCTCACTTAGTGCCGCTAATGCACTAAGCTGGACCGAAGCACTGCCTATGATACTACTTGGTATCCGATCAGCTCTTAAAGCTGATTTGCACACGTCCAGCGCCGAACTGGTATATGGACAACCTCTTCGATTACCTGGGGACTTCTTTTCTGGAAACCCCAGAACACCCCGCTACGGCGCGAATTACGCTCGGCAGTTAGCCACGAGCATGCGCCATATCAAAGTAACCGACGTGCGAGAACAACGACGTAAATCGTTCGTTCCACAAGATCTACTGCATTGCGCTTACGTTTTCCTTCGAGTCGATGGTCTACGCAGACCACTCGAACGACCTTACGATGGTCCATTTAAGGTTCTTAAACGTAAGGACCGTGTATTCGTTATCGACCGCCAAGGTAAACGTGAAACTGTCTCTATCGACCGTCTCAAGGTTGCCCATGTGGAACCTGAGATCGACGATGACTCCCGTCCACCTTCGGACGAGTTAACGCAGCCTATGATCGACGACACGCCTACTCCCGATGCTACGAAGCATTCTCCGACTAGCCCTTCCTACTCAGTTCCTTCCGATTCTATCGAGCCGAAAGCTTCCTCATCCGACAAAACTGCTGGATCGACAACGCCTCCGACCAAACGTCCGAAATCGACTAGGTCAGGTAGGCGGGTTCATTGGCCAGCGCGATTAAAAGATTAGTCCTCTTTTCATTCTTCCTTTCCCGCTTCCTTTTTGCTTGTGGCCTATCCCGCCCAACAAAAACGTTTTGAAAACCCAAAAAATTTGCAAAGAGTTTTGAAAACCCCAAAAACCGCAAAGACGTTTTGAAAACCCAAAAAAGGAGAAAATCGTTTTGAAAACACAAAATGATTCTCGCTTTATTCGCTTATCGCACTCGGTAAGTGCTATCGCCTTTTGTTAGCTCTGTCGCTCGCACTTGTTTGACACTCCGCGTTTCCGCTTCTTTTTCATATCCCCGACACGCGGACGTTCAACGACAATCGAACGTTACGTTTTCGGACACTACGTGCTCAAACATCATGTGCGGTGACACTACGCACTCGAACGCTACGAACCTTTCCCCCCATTTTGTGTTTTTGGCACCTGTAGGGAGGACACGGGTGGGAGCCCCCCAAGCGTCCGATCGCATTGGTTCTCCCCCAGCAGCTGCATCCGGTTGCACCGCGTGGTCTCGCAGAAGGCTGGCCGGCGACGGACAGTCCTCACGTAGATCGAAGGGTCACCTACGGTTCCCTTCTAAGAGCGGGGCTGTGTAGTGACCTGGAGATTCCCCTGTTTGGCTGCCGCATGCTGCGTAAAATATTACAAAATCACAAAATTATATTTTCTCAATGTACATAGCAAAATAGCCGCTCGCCTGTTTGAACGTTGCTCGCGTTTGTTTGAGTCACATAGCATCCGCATTCGAACGGCGCGACGCTCCTCGGCTCCGCGGCCATCTTTGCTCTCCGCGCACGCGACCACACCTTTCCCTATCTTCCGGTGCCTTATTTTTAGCACTAGATAGCCTTTCGCCCACTTAATAAATTTTTCCTAGCGTTACTATTGGTGTTCTCCACTCATCGGAGGTTGGCCTTATTTTCGCGTATTGGTTTTAAAGCGTACCGATCCCGCATCGCGCTTTAATAACTTACAGGTATGCTGTGGCTGGTTGTGTGTAGTAGAGAATGTGTCCAAATGTGAACTGGAAACATACAAGCTGATTATTTGTTTCAGCACAATCACAGGAAGCGGAGAGCCAGGTGCAAGTGGAACTGCAACCCGAAGTTGCACCAGAGGCACTCGAGGGATCCGTAGCCAAGACCGAAACTGAAACGCAACCCACAGCACAACCTGAGACGAAGGCGGATGTTGAGGCGGAGGTGGCACAGGAACCGGTGAAAGTACCCGAAGAGGAGGCTGTTGCCGCACCTGAGCAGCAGTTTGCAATCGGTACGTTGAATCCATTCCAGTTGACGTTGTGACCCATTTTACGTTCACGTGCACACATTGTGTCGCTAAATTGATACATTGCACCAAATCTACTATAGACATCTCACTGAACATTGGTACTTGTTTAGGTATGCGCTGCTGAGTTCAATGCTTGGACATGGTGTGATGTGGAAAATTGTAGTAATCTTAGAGGTTTAACACGTATCACCTTCAAACAATTGAATGCTGGTGCATTCACATTGATCGAACGCGAAAACATTTCAGAGGTGGATGGCGAGGCGTTGAGGTTCTGAGACGGAGATGGTGCCTGAGACATTGTGTATGTTAAACAGGTCTGATGTAATGATACTCACTGCTCTGTAGGCGGAATGTTATTGGTAATAACGCTGGTGATGTTTTGAGACCTAGAAAGCACATTGTCTCTGGTCACATTCCCTTGTCCGTAGCGGAACCCGTAGAGAAACAGTCGTGTGAACAGCTGAAGGAGAATGTGATTGGAGATTGTGTTTTCTCTATCCACTGCCATCAATTCTACCCTAAATGCAAACATTGTGCCTGCACGATTTCACTGCGGATCGCATTCTCATGTGTCACGTGTTGCACCACAAGGAAACACAACACACCGCACATGTCCCCCATCTATCAAACGCCCACACCGAGGACACATTTAACTATGTCAGCAATCCCCTTCAATATTTCACTCACTCCACCACTTATTCGGAAGATCAGTTAGTAGGTCGATCACTTCTAACTCCTCGCGCTCCTCTCGTCAGCCTACACAATGGCGAAGGATCTTGGATGTGATTTAGCGTTGCATTGTATGGACATAAGACGCGTGACATGGGAAACTGTTAATTATCGCTGTAAAAGAATTTCCAATGCCCTGTGTTCAACTTCTCCATTCGCCTATCCTCGAGTGTGGACTACGAAAGCAATTATCGCCCCCCCACAAATTATCTTCGCCATTACCACGGCAACTATCACCCCAATTATCTTTGCCATTTCCACCCCAACTATCACCCCAATTCTCTTTGCCATTACCACCCCAACTATCACCCCATTATCTTTGCCATTATCCTCGCAATTATCGTTATGCACACTCTCATTTTACGCATTCGGTCTTCATCCCGGTCTGTGTTTGACCAATCGCGTGAACTTCACTTGTTCTATATAACCAGCCTACTGTATTCTCTATCTCACTGACGACCTGAAACGCTTTCTTGTTGGTCTCGGGCCGAATTGTAATTCCTTTGAAACTGCGTTGAGTGGAAGCGCTACTAAGGAGTACGTCATCTTGTCCAGTGCTCTTGTTCGTTGACTGGCTGGATACGCGATGGCCCAAGGCCCTTCAAAGCAAATTGTCGCTTACAGTACTCAATACTGCTTCCTCGTTTTGAGTGAAGTTTGAAGTTTCGAGTGCCGTACTCAACAGCATTTCGTTTGCTTTCAACTGGATTCCCGGAATTTGACGGTGCTTTGCGCTTTGGAGTGAATTGTAACTCACTCGCACTCACATCGGACAATGTCTGCAAAAAAGTTTACTTTTGAACATCCTATGGATGATGCAGCATACCTGCAAGTTCTTGATGAATATCATGATTGTGCATCATACTCTAGTTCACACGTAAGCCATAAGATTGAGCATAGCATTATTTCCCGTCGTTCATCCGCTGTAATTACTGCAGCAGAGTTAAGAAAAATGCAGTCAGATTTGGGTAAGCAGAAGAATTAGAAATGGCCAATCTTTGAGTAGAATTGGAAGAAGGCCATGTCCACTCTAATCTTAAAGTGATATCGGCTTCCAGTTCTGGTGAGAGGAATCGGCGTATAGGCGCTTTGGTTGATCAGTGTCAGTTGTCGGCAGCCGAGGCGTACGATCACAGAGCCCATCGGGGTAGGTTAGTGTCACAGCAGTGCCTACAGCTAGATCTGCCAAAGGTTGAACTAGAATATTTCGATGGTAATCCTGCCAAGTATTGGAAATTTGTAAAGCAGTTCGAATACTACGTCGAAAGCCGCGTGTTTGATAGTGGCCAGCGACTGCTTTATTTGATTCATTATTGTCGTGGCTACGCCAAGGAGGCCATTAGTGAGTGTGTGATGTTGCCTCCCTCTGTGGCCTACGATAGAGGGAGAACTCTTTGGAGAAAGCCATGTCGTAGCCAGATCGCTAATTGATGGTCTCATGACTGGCTTGAGGCCACTTTCTGCCAATCCAGATGAATTGTTTAAATTGTCCTTGAAAATGAAAAATTGCTACATCGCTCTCGCAGCTGAACTTTACTGCGGACTTGTATTCCATTGCAACTATCGAACGCGTAGTGCGTGTTTTACCGAGCAGCCTTCAGGCCCGGTGGGCAAGGGTAGCAGATTCGATCACGCATGATGGGCGGGAGGTCGATTTCAAGGACTTGGCTGAATTCGTTGCCGCGGAATCTCGTGTTGCACGAAGTAGATTCGGTCAAACCGCTTCGTCGAATGCTTCGCGACCGCATTTAGATGCCAGACCACCGCTAGTAGAGAACAGACGAAACAATCGTATCCATGTCCTCTACACCTTATCAGGTGCCTCTCCTAAAACAGCGTGTTTGACTTGTAGTATTGATCATGCCACTGCCTCGTGCCGTAGTTTTCTCTCTTTGGACGTTCCTAGCTGGTGGAGGCTCATGAAGTCTAGAGGTGGGTGCTTCAGGTGTCTAGAAATAGGTCAAAAATCTGCCATCTGTCAAAATGCTAAAGAAGGTAATGTGCCTGATTGTAGAGGGGGTCATCATCCACTGCTTCACTCAGAGACCAGACAAGTGGCTTCACCGACCGTTGCAAACGCTTGCACTGCTACCTTCACTGCACAGAAGCAGGTGTGTTTGGGAGTGCTATTAGTGCGTGTAGAAAGCCAAAGAGGATTATTGGAAACATACACCTTATTAGATACATGTTCGAATGTAACATTGGTAGAAAAAGGACATTTGGAAGAAGTCGGCATCGTGGTCACTCCAACTCGTTTGTAATTCACGACGATGTCGGGCAAATCCTCGATTGAAGCGGGTTGCGTAGGTTTTACTTTGTCATCCCTAGATGACACTTGTTCGATTTCCGTTAGGCATGCCCACTGCTTGCCAAGACTGCCTTTGGAATCCGTTATAACCCCGAAGGGGAAGTTGGCGGATATCCCATTTGAGGAAATCCGAGATGGTCGGATCCGAATACTCTAAGATGCTAACGTGCCAGAGGCACACTGGCATTTAGAGCAACGTCTGGGGGATAAAAATCATCCTTTTGCTGTAAAAACCTTACTCGGTTGGATGTTGCTAGGCCCAGTTGTAGAAAGTAGAACTGCCGTTGCTTCCGCACATGATTGCCATATTTGTAGGCCGACAGTCGAAGAACAGTTAGGGAGATTATGCAACAACGACTTTGCTCGTGTAAATACAGGCGATCATGCACTTTCAGTGAAAGATAACGCCCCCTTTCCTATTGCGTAGAATTCGGTGCATTTGGTAAAGGGTCATTTTGAGATTGGTCTTCCTTAGAGAATTTTTCGGTCAGGGAGCTAAGTTGCATCGTATTACATAAATTAACTGTCCACTAGATTCAGCACGTTTATCGCGAATCGTTTGTTGGCTATTCATGAAGTGTCATCACCAAATCAATGGGGCACATAAAGTCGGAAGACACTGCAGCCGACCTGTTGTCGCGAGAAGCGTTTTCATGCCTTCGGCTGAAGTACAGTTTCGCTGGGCCTGAATTCCTGTGGGGTTGCGAACTCAAGTAGCCTGCATCTATAAAATCGTTCTCTACACCAGGAGGTGTGGAAAATAAACGCAAGATAGCCCACGTTGTTTCAGTATCGGAAGAGCCCCCTCTGTTCCTCCCCGAATCACAGCTCATCATTAACAATAGGCCACCTAACCTGCTGACGACAGACTCTCTTGCTCAACCACATCTCACGCCTAATGATCTGCTCATACTCAGACCGAATACAGAGGGAGTAGCGCCAGCGAGACTTTGTAACAGGTATACACAATGTTGGAGGCCAACTAACTACCTGGCCACACTAATTTGGAAACGATGGAGAAAGGAGTATCTCACATTAATGCACCTGAGGCAAAGGTGGCCGAAAGTACAACGCAACTTTAGGCCTGAAGACGCGGTTTTAGTTACTTCGGATTCACTCTTCGGGATAGTTGGCCTTTGGCAGTGGTTGAGAGTTTTAAGACCTCCGAGGATGGCCTAGTAAGGACAGTGTTGGTTAGACTAAAGCAGAGTGTATTTGAGCCAGCGACGTTAGAAAGATCTGCCTTATCGAAGGCAGCAAATGGGGTAAGGGGTCAGTCCCGGCTGTTGACGTTCCGCAAGTGGGAGGTGGGTTTTCGAACCTGCTGCCTCAGGGAGGACCCCCGTGAGTTCAACAGACCGAAGTGGAGAAGTTTAGGCGTACCGTTGCAAGTCCTACGCTTCTCCATCTTGAATGGAGCAGGTTAGAGTGAACCAGAGTACCTCAAGATCACGAAGTTGAACTTTCTGTCGGAAAGTTGGCGGGAGTGTAAAAGGAATTTTATTGCCCTGTGTTCAACTCCGTCATCCGACTATCCTCGAGTGTCGACTATGAACGCAATTATCGCGCCCCCCGATAATCTTTGCCATCACCACCCCAAATATCACACCAATTATCTTTGCCATTGTCCTCGCAATTATCGTTATGCACACTCTCAGTTCACGCATCCGGTCTTCATCCCGGTCTGTGTTTGACCAATCGCGTGAATTTCACTTGTCCTATATAACCAGTATATTGTATTCTGTATCGCATTGACGACCTGAAAGCCTTTCTTGCTGGTCTCGGACAGAATTGTAATTCCTTTGAAACTGCGTTGAGTGGAAGCGATACTATTAGGGTCTGTATTATTTTTGCCTCCTGATTGTTCGTTAACAGTACTGTCATCTTGCCCAGTGTTCTTGTTCGTTGACTGGCTAGGTACGCGATGGCCCAAGGCCCTTCAAAG